CCCCCCCCCCCCCATTCCCCCTCTCATCCCCACTTTGACAACACTGCATCCTTGCTTGCAACAATCCCCCCTGGACTCTCATCAGTACCAGCTCACCCCCCCTGAAACCCTTCAGGAACAATAAACATAGTCTGAGAACACTCTCTAGGTAAGCATGAACCCAAGGGACATAATTCTGTCAAACTCTCACACAGTTTATCGAGCACTGACAGCTCATATTGTGACCCAGATGTCTATATATGACATTTTATTCACTTTGACAGTTGACTATATTTGTGTTTTGTGTCACTGATTTGTTTTATATTTTAAAAAAGCAATCCATATTCATATTGTCTGTTACTTTTGGACGGTGATTTTCGACACTTCCTGACTCAAAACCTCTCATGACACCTACTGTTTGTGCTCTGTTTCAGTGGTGGCAACAGTCTGTGTCTGATCAACCTATTATGCCATCGTTTGAGTCTATATCGATAACACATGTTAGCAGATTTGGTGAAAAAGCATTTTACTGCACAGCATAGTTGAGAATCATGTGCTGACTTAGTCACAGTCAAAGCCACTCATTTTCTCATTTTCTGCCACCATCATTATCATGACATCTACAGTATTTATGACATGCATGTACTGTTGAAAAGAAAGCAGGTAACAGTTTGTTGATGGTAAAGTACCAGAATATTATGTTGAGAAGTGTTCCCACTGACCAAACCAAATGCGTCCCCACAGTCAGACAATACATTTCTTTGTTGTATGTGTGTTTCTAACATAAAGACGGATATGTGATATGTATTAAAATCTCACTGTGCCCTTTCCCCATGTGTCTGTTTTTCATTAGGGAGTTCTTGATTGTTCTACAGCGCTTCAGGTCTTTCTTTACAGCGCTGCCAGAGATGCTGTGTGATGGCGAGAATGTAATGGACGACTCCATGTGTTGGAGCGGGGACAATGTAGTGGAGAGGTAGGAGAGATTCCCACCCCTAACTCAATATGAACTTGAACTGTTAACAACTACATCAGCAATGCCACTTTAAGATTTAGGAAACTAGATTTCTCTAAAAGTCTGACCTTTGTATTTTGCTGAACACTGCTATGATGATTGGGATTTTATCAGTACTGGAAGAGAACAGTGAGTGAGATTAGTGGATCAGAAAATATGGTTTTGGTGTATATGGCGCCGCTTCTCCTTTCTGTCACATCTGGCCAAGAGCAGGGCTCAGCATGCAAATTAAAGTGAAACTAATCAATTATCAACACCTTTGTATGATTCTGTTTGTGCAATAGGACCTAAGAAAGTTAAAAGCCAACAATAATCATTGATCAAAGCACCTTCTATATGACAATAAGCTTGCAGAGACGTAATAATTTCAGCTCTGCTTGCAGTCTGTTATCCAGTGTAGGTATATTAACCATAGTGAGCTTGTGATGGCATGGTCCAGTCTGGCTCTATGTGGCCTCATCTACCTCATGTCTGTCTCACTCCACTAACTACGGTCGGTTCATACCCGATCTGTCCATCTCTTTACCCTTCATTTTTTTGTATCTGTATCACTATTGAATCACAAGGGCAGCAGCAGTGTGTTGCTGATTTACATTTCATGAATAACACAGTTTTAAAAAAGTGAAGTTGTGGCAGACATTTAATAAAACAGAAAAGAACTTGCCATTTTTTGTTTAAAAAACATGCTATGAATAAAACTGTGGCTCTAAAACTAAGTTCTGAACCGAGATTTGGTGACCCGATAAAACCCCTACTACTTTGCTACAGTATGGTAATTTGCTGACTAAACACTTTTTTGGCAGCACTGGAGCTTGGACATAACTTTTATTTTCTCCAAATGACAACAGTTGATTCTGGCTTGTATGCATCCTTTCAAACAAGTCATTCCAAGTCTTTCTGAGATGTAATACGTGTGATATCTTGCATTGAGAAATATGACTTTTAAATGTAGTCAAATTTGCTTATTGTGCTTGTGCAGAATAATTTCAGGGTTTGTGCGTCACTGTGGTTGGTTTGAGCCAGTAAATGAGTTGTTATATGTGCCATTCTTCTGTCTTTCTTTTTTTTTGTTCTTTTATTTACGAGGTTTTTATTTTGCACTGATTTATAGGTGTGGCTCTGGAACCCTTTTTGTGCTTATGGTTTTGAGTTCATCTCTAGGACTCAAACACTTTCTCTCTCTGTCTCTGTCTCTGTGTCTGTGTCTGTGTGTGTGGTTATGTGACTTCTAAGCATGAGACAAACAGAACTGATGCAGATTACTGAGCCTATGTACGTCTGTAACTGATTCTCCTTGCTGGATGAGTTTCTTAAATACTCTAGAAACTCAGTTCACAATTATGACAAGGTTTTGCTCTGCTTCTTCTGCGTTGGCCCTGAACTGGCTCCCATTATCATGGCAACCTGAACCCTTGGCATTGCCGGTATTGGCCTTGACGTGGAAAAACAGAGGTCCGGGGATGCCTTTTCACCTGATCCAACCTGAGTGTTTGTAAGATTCCCATGACTGCTTTGCTGGGTTAAGCCATACAATAAATTTTAAAGAAGCACATGGGAAGACATTAGGTTCATGAACAGATGACTGAGATTCCCAAAAAAAACATTTTATTACCCTTACACAGTTTATAGAATCTTGTAATTGGTTTAGTTTGCTTCTGTCCTCTCCTCTCCTCTCTAGAAAGAGAGGGTAAACAAAGGTCAAGACACAAGCCAAACAGAGATACAGCTTCTTTGTGTTTTTTTTTTTTTACTTCTTTAAAGCAACGAGGGTCTTGGACTGCCTGTTCCACACTGGTTGTCGCAGTATATACCCCTCTGAACTTACGATAGCGCTTTACGAAACCGCTCCACCATAGCTACAATGCTAATTTTGCTAGCACTAAGTTGCTATGTATCAGAGACTTAAGGTGTGTTTTTTAACAATATTGGTAGCTGCAATTTCATGCTGATATTTTTGACAGTTACTGTCAATATGCTGACTGTATTTGTCTGGTCTGAATATGAGGGTCATGTGCTGTTGTACGGTTTGGCAAATTAGGAGACACAAGTAATTATAAATAGTTTTTCATCACTGTAAGCGAGTGGTCAATTGGCAGCGACTGCCATGAATCCCTGCACTTCCTGTTCCTGTTCCTGCTTGTATTTTGGTACACCTCTGAAGCCTTGTCCAGCATGTTTGTTTCATTGTTACTGCTCTCATTACACCCACCTGCCGACCTTCACTGTAATCCATTCATTCAGTACCTAAGTCATCTGCATTTACTCTTCACTAGATCATTGTTAGACAACTTCATCAAAGACTTTCCAGTGCCTGCTGCCAATTTCCCAGTAACCCTTTTCTCCAATGGACTCAGCCCTGCTACTTTGTTGTTTAGATACTACTTTATGCTTGTCTTTGCTACAGCTTGTCAGTTACTTGTTCAGTGTTTCTTTCCTGTCCTGCCTGTCACTTGTACTCTTGTTGCTCCCTGGCACTGGTTGTTTGTTCCCTGCCTGTAGTCCTATTAATCCTATCTCGTCATCGGTGTGTGAATGTGTGTGTGAATGGGTGAATGGTGTATAATCTCCTGTAAAGCGCTTTGGCCAGTGTAACACACTGTGAGAAAGCGCTATATAAAATACAGTCCATTTACCATTTACCAATAATATTGGTTTAGTTTCACGTTCCTGAGTAGCCACATGTGTTCCTGAGCAATTGCTTTAACAGTGTACCAGTCACTTTTAACCTGAGTTTGTGTGTATCCTTGTTTGTTTATGTGTTATTCCTGTTGCCTGTTATTTACTTGTGTTGCTTCTGTCTAGCGTTTTAACTTCCTCTCTAGCAGTCTTAGTTGTCAATGTCACATTGTCTTGTTGCCTGCCTGTTTACTTAACTTTGTCTGCCCACCTCTTATGTTTTCCTGTTACCTGTATCTCTGCAGCATAGCTATTAAAGCCTTGTTTTCCTTGTCACTGAACTTTTCTCTGAGTCTACAGTTGGGTCTTAAGTTCAGAAGCGTTACATGTGTTCGACAGATTTGAGCTGTGCACCATTGACATCCATGCAGCACCTGTGCACAACCACAACAATGGCAAGGCACATGCAAAACCTGTTTTTCTGTGATATTGAATACGTTTTTACTCTGTGTATGTGTCTAGGTGTCACTTTTACTACCAAGGGCACTGGTCTTTCAAAAACAGTGCTAATTTGGGGTGTAACAGTGTGTTATCCTACACCCCTGATGAGAGCTGATTCTTTGCCTGTGGTGTCAAGTGTGCTTGTGTTGAGTAAGGAAAAACAAAACAAAAAACTGTGCCCTGCTGAGACATTTGGCACTACTTGTTAATTGTTCTGATAGGCCTGTGGCAAACCTCTTTCACTGTATCTGACTCAGTTGGTATGTATTGGGGAGAGAGAGAGAGAGAGAGAGAGAGAAAGGAACAGGACAGAGTATGAAAAAGGTTGGTTTGCATTTTGGTGTTGTGGTGTCCCCTGTGCCCCTGATGTGGGAAACATTGTAAAGTAATGGGGGGAGGGGGAGCCTTGGCAGCATAAAGACCCATTGTGGAGCCAGTGCAGTGGGGCACAGCCCTGCCGTGGTGACCCCAAAGCCTGAAGGGGGAACAAAGGCCCTCCTATGAGGCTGTATAGGAAAGACTTGGACATTGCTGCCTCTGCTACTTCCACTGCCCACACCATGCTTGGGAAACTTATATGACAACTGCAAAGGAGCTGACAGAAGGGAATATAGTGAGAGGCAAAGATGATAAAATATAAGGAAAGATTAGAAACACTATGCAGCATAGAAGATACAAACAGCATGATTGAAAATGGACATGCTAAACTGCTGTTGTGTTAGTCCATGTCATAGTTTGGCTTCCTTTGTGGTGGGCTTGTACAGCCTCTCAGGACTTGATGGGTTTTCCCCACAGACAAGAGGATGCACACACACACACACACACACACACACACACACACAAATGTCAATCCACATGGGATACATATGCTATTTACAGTAACAGCTGGAAGGGTGATTCATTCAGACACAATCATACTGTATCATACTCAGGCAAGGAGACACACATCAACACGTGAGAACACACACACACACACACACACACACTTGTATGTTGTATTACTTCAAAGCACATCGAAGGAACTGGGGATTGAAATTCCCTTCCTCTCTTTATTCAACATCTGATGACAGCAGGGCAAGTAGGGGGCAAGCAGAGCAGTAGTACTTACAACTAAAAGTATGTTTTGGCATGTGTTCACACATCTTTGGACATTCACAGCATGTGTGAATATTTGGCAACATCTCTTCCGGAGAGATGAGGTCAACCAAAATTACCTCCGTTTTTATTATTTCCTGATTTGCCAGTCATTGTATATTTATTGTAGAAGTCTTATCACCACCTCTTCTCACTTTAATTGTGTTGTTTTTTGCCTTTTTGAGAAATGTTTGACACACAGAGTGCTTAGAGATACTGTTTGGTGTGCAGGTTATGAAATAGTGCCGCATGCTAAAGCCATAATTAGGCATCATGAATGTCCTAATTAGTTCCTTGACTGGAAACATATGAGAAGGTAACCTCAGTGAAGGCTTGAACGTCTTGTGAAAATTCTTTGTCACAACCAGACCCAGAATAACTTATTTACTACAAACAAGGGGGAAATAATAATCAGTTCAGGACCATTTTGAATATGAAGTTGACTTCTAGACTAACTGCCCAGTTTTGTGTATGATCCGTAGTCAGTCAACAGTGCTCCTCTGACCATCACTGCTCGGATTTTAGATTTGTGATGAACATGAGACAGACAATAGATGGTTTCAATTCATCAATGTCAAGATCCTGAAAACAATTTGATTGAAAATATTAATAATTATTAGTGATTGGTCCCTGTGGGGGTTCATAAGAGGATGGCTAAACCTATGTTACACCTGACTAAACATATCAAGCTACAGTAGGTGCAACCACCA